TTGCAGATTTTTATGCAGTAATTTCATTAGCTAGTTTTTCTTTAGTTCTTAATTCAGCTTCTTATATCTCATGGATTCTTAGATTTGGATTCTTGATCATAGTCCAAAGTTCTTGAACATTGTGGCCATGCTTATTTATTTCTTTTTGTGGGGGAGAGGAGTCTCACTGTTATTTTGGTTGTCCTTGAACTCACTCTGTAGACTAGGCTGGCCTCTAACTCACAGAGGTCTGCCTGCCTCTGCCTCCTGAGTGCTGGGATTAATATTTCTTTTCCTTCTTAATATATGAATGGAGTTGGTTTTTTTTTAACCTCCTTCTTCAACCTTGATATTTTTTATGCTTGGTTGATTCTACTGGTGATGCTTTCATGTACGGTTCATATTTGATTCATTGAAGTTTTCATTTCCAACATTTCTGATTATTTTTTCAAAATCGCAATCTCCTTGTTGACTTTTTCTTCCACGTTGCTGACATTTTTTAACCAATTTTCTCATCAACTTTGATACCTTTTTCTCATATGTTCCCAACATTCCTCTTCACATTAGATTGACTCAGTATGCTTTTCTTTTAAATCTTCTTTCAGTTGATTGATCATTTTTACTAGTAAATTTTTGAAATCTTCATCTGACATTTGCAATAATACCATATATTAAAGGATAGACGTTTAAGTAGCTTCTTTCAGGCTCCTCAAAAATTAGAAACTGGCAGTTATATATACATATATCATGTGGACTCTGTGTTCTTGACTTTCCTATGGCTTACGCTGTTGCTTAGTCTACGTTGGACAGGTGCCTCCTGGCTACCAGAGCTGTCTTCTCCATCTTGGTAGCTTTCCTTCTTTGATTATTATTGCCCTCTGATGGTCATGCTTAGTTATGCAGTCTTTGAGGCTAGAATGCTGTCTCGCACTCTTCTGCCTGAGGTGACCAACTTTCTAAGTGGACAGTGTCTCCCACATACCCTGGAAGTATGAGAGATACCCACAACATTGTACCCACACAGCTAAAGAATCTGTCTTCATAATCTCAAGACTCCTGAGCCTTAATCATCCTGCTGGAGAGAAGCCCCTCTTGCTATCAAGTATGCCCTTGAACTTAACATTTGACAGCCTCTATGGCAGTGAATGCCAAAAGACTCTAGAGGTTGACCCATCTGTTTGTTTGGTGCTCAAAGCTATTGAACCCCAGGATTATTTTCACTGGGAGAAGGTCTGACTATTTGCAATTTTCCATCTGAGTTGAGCCTCCAGATGCTGTCAATATTTTGCCCTCTTGATCTCCAACTCCTTCTGGTCCTTTCTTCATTCTCAGGCTGCCGTGAGCCTAACTGATGCTCTATAATCTATGGTTGATTCCTATGGCTGAGAGGTCAGTGGTGAAGAGAAATGCAGTTTCACCCCTCTATATAAAGAGGAGGGCGTAGCCAGGGGTTATACTGAGAGACTCCATACTGTTAAAAACTGATCTGCTACCTAGGAGAACGCAGAACAAAAATCAACCACAGATTAGGAAGCACCAGTTTGGTTCATGGCAGCCTGAGTATGATTTGTGATGTTTAGTTATTCACAGTGCCTTACATTTTTATACTTTTGTTTATGCAAGCCATAAAATTTGTCATAAATGTGTTAAATTTTTTATTATTACTTTAAGACTTCTTTACCTTTTCTTACTTTCCAATCTTTTGTAGAATTGTTTTTTGCTCTAGATCACAGCTCCTGACATTCTCCTTTCTTCTAATCTCTCTTATAAAAACTGAACACAATTCAGGTGTGGCAGCATATGTCCTTAATCCCAGCACTAAGGAGGCTGAGGTAGGGGGATCATGAGTTGGAGGCTGGCCTGGACTACATATCAAGACCCTTACCTCAAGAACAGACAATAACCAAAACCTAAATCCATGAGTTAGTTTAATGAATTATTAAATTCTCTCACAAAACTCTTAACAAAAGATATAGTTTTGTAAATGTAACTTGATAATGGTTAATAAAACTAAACAGAATTTTTAAAAATATTTTGTCTTCTCAGATTTCTCTAAACATTCTATTTTTCCCCTTTTTAATTTGTTTGTTGAGAATTTCATACAGTATATTCTTATCATATTTTTTCTGTCCTCCATTTGCTCCCAGATCATCTACCTCCCTATCCACCCAAATTCATGCTCTTTCTCTCTCTGAAAAAAAAAAGAAAAGAAAAAAGGCTCTAAGAAACCTGGAGTCAGAAGTATGTTGACCACAGAACAGGGATCCTGCCTTGGAATGTGGTTGATATACCAAGTATTACTCCATTGAAGAAAACGAATATTCCCTCAGGAAAAGCTATCATTTGTAAATAGCTTTTGGCCCAATTCTTTTCTTTTCTGCTAGGATTTTTGTCTAGCTTGAGATGATGGCTATCTTGTGCATGTTGTCACAATGCCTGTGAGTTCAATATGTGCATCTGCCCTGCTGTATCTGAAAAAAAATGCTAGTTACTTCATATCATCTACCACGTCTGACTCTGACAGTCTACCTGTCCTACATAGATCCCTGAGCCTTGAGGAGAAGGGTATAACAAAGATATCTAGTATAGTGCTGAGCATTCCAAGGTCTTTCACTCGCTTCATGTTGTCCATTTGTGGGTCTCTGTGTTATCATCTGTTGTAAGAAACTTCTCTGCTGAGAGTTGAGTAATGCACTGCTCTGTGGGTATAGCAATATGTCATTAGGAGTTATTTTGTTGCTATACAAATTTGGTAGAATAATATTATTAGGTTTCCCCTGAGACTGTGACCCAGTCTCAGGTTCTTGCCCTCATTAACAAAATCAGGTATAAATTAAATCTGATGGAGTAGGCCTTAAGTCCAATCCAAAAATGGTTAGTTTCTCCACTACCATTCATGCCTCTGTTGCACAATTCCCAGGGTTTGGATCTGGGTGAGACTGGTGATCTCTTTTATCCCTGGGTAGCCTATATAGCAGGTTCTAACACAAAGAACACTAGCCAGTAGGGGTGAAACTTCCAGTTGAGTACCAGCCATGTTTCTCCAGGTTCTGTGCCATAAATACGTGGTGTCTTCAGCAATAGAGTCTTTCTGTCAAGTTGTAGAGAATAACCAATAGCATTGGTGTAATATTTAAGGGATCTATGGGAAACTAGGCCAATGACTCTAAAGATGTAGCACATTCCTGGTATTGGAGGTTTTATTTGGTAGCATATAATGTCTACCCGGAGTGTTGACTCCCCCCATACATGGAAACTCCATTTAAATTCTTTTATATATTTCAGGAAACTTTTGTAGTAGTAGGTTTCCACATGGCCTTTCAGAAGGCCTTTAGTGTTAGTTACTGCTTCCATATTACCTCCTCTTCTCTGCCATCCCATCCCCTACCCTCTTTAATCTTCCTATTCTAATTTTCTCTTAATCTCTTAATAATAATATATTCTATATCCTCTTCCTTGGAAGATCTCCTACCCCTTCCTGGCCACCTACTAGCTACCTAACCTCCAGGGTATTCTAAATAAAACAGAAATATCTGAAGCTTAAAAACTAACATCCACATATATAAGAAAGCATGCAATGCAATTTTTTCTAAGTTTTGGTTATCTCCCAAATGATTATTTCTAGATCCATCTATTTTCCTGCAAATTTCATAATTTCATCTTTCTTAACAGCTGGATAATACTATATTACATAAATGTACCACATTTTCATTATCCATTAACAGAGATCTTGGATGACTCTAATTTTCCGATATTGTGAACAGAGCAGCAAAGAACATGGGTAAGAAAGTATCTCTGCCGTAAGATATACAGTTCTTTGGGTATAAACTCAAAGTGGTACAGCCAGATCTTGTAGTAGATCTATTTTTAGCCTTTTGAGGAACCTCCACACTGTTTTCCATAGTGGCTGTACCAGTTTGAATTCACACCAGCAATGAATAGGGTTCCCCCTTCCCTGCATCCTCACCAGAGTCTGCTGTTATTTGTATTATTGATCTGGAACATTCTGAATGAGGTAAGGTGAAATCTCAAAGTACTTTTAATTTGCATTTCTTTTTTTCCCCTGGTAAAGAGAGGACTTTAATATTTCTGTGCTGGTCAAACGGAACACAGGCAGGAATACGTGGGGAAAGCCGGGCCTCTTGCCTCTAAGGAGGGCTGCTTGTGTGGGGTGGGATAGGGAAGGACGGGGCCCCTTGTTTGTAAGGAGAGTGGCTTGTATAGAATTGGATAGGGGTTGGTGGTGAATGTGGGGTGCTCCTGGGAAATGTCCAAGGAGTCTTTCTCAGGGAAGGGACTGTGGCATGGTGCTCTAGGCATCCCTGACACCCAGTCCATGGCCTTGGGTTGTGGGTCCCCCATAGGAGGTCTGTGGAATTTCAACATTTTCCAGCTCTTCTGCTAGAATCCATACTCCCAGCATTATGGGGACTTGGTCCTATGCAGGAATCTGAAGATCTCCCAGAAAGCAGTCCAGGGGTGGGGGCAAGATTCTGTCCTCTCCCTTCTCCTTAGGCAGGGTAAGAACAGAGGGGAAGTGGAAAGGACCGCTGGACCCTGGGGGAGCGGGGAAGGAGAGGGTCTTGCCATCAATGGACACTGTAAACTTTGGTTTTAAAGAATAACTCAAGTGGAGCCATGGTGAAGGGAGGTGGGGCTGCTCAGGAGACAACAAAGGAAAAGGCCAACAAAATGATTTGGTTTTGGCTTCCAGCTTAAGAAAGGTCTTTGGTCATCCTTTAACTGGGGGAACAGGAAGAGGTGCTGAGGGGGTGAGAGGATCCCAATGCAGGGTGGAGGGGTGCAGGCTGGGACTGAGGATGGTTTCCTGCTTGGCTTTCTTCCATACTATGAAGCTCAGGCCAGCTATGCATACAGGTCTTAAGGTGCCCAGCATGGGAGTCCCTCGGTGCTGTGGGAAGTTCTGTATGTTAAATGTGTTGCTCTGATTGGTTAATAAATAAAACACTGATTGGCCAGTAGCCAGGCAGGAAGTATAGGCGGGACAAGGAGAGAGGAGAATTCTGGGAAGTAGAAGACTGAGTCAGAGAGACGTTGCCAGCCGCTGCCATGAAAAGCAAGATGTAAGGTACCAGTAAGCCACGAGCTACGTGGCAACTTATAGACTAATAGATATGGGTTAATTTAAGATATAAGAAGTAGATAACAAGAAGCCTGCCATGGCCATACAGTTTGTAAGCAATGTAAGTCTCTGTGTGTTCACTTGCCTGCAGGACTGGCTGGTGAGAGAGATTTGTCCTGACCATGGGCCAGGCAGGACTGGAGAAAACTTCAGCTACACCTCAGTGTTTCAAGTTGTTGTGCCGCAGAGCACCCAGCAAACAGAGTCGGGTGGAGACCTGTTTTGTCTGGGTCCTGTCTCAGGTCAGGATGGGGAGGACAGGGAACTGCTTGCCCCACCTCAGCAACTTGTGGGGCTGGGCTGCAGCTGCATTCTCAGTCTGCTTGCCCCATTGAGCAGGAAGCTGGGACTGGAGAACATTATAATCTTCACTGCTGGGAAAGGGATGGGGCTGGTGAGGTGGCTCAGAGGTTAAGAGCACTGGCTTCTCTTCCAGAGGTCCTGAGTTCAATTACCAGCCACCACATGGTGGCTTACAACCATCTATAACGAAAATCTGGTGCCCTCTTCTGGCCTGCAGGCATATATGCAGGAGGATGTATATATAATTTGCATTTCTGTAGACTAAATTTCTTCGGTTCCCCAGCCACTTATAAAATAATCAGAGGCTTAATATTAATTGCAAACATAGGCCAATGCAGCTTTATTTATTAGCCAATGGGAGTAACACATATTCACAGCATACAGAAAGACATCCCCCCAGCACATTTCCTTGATTGCTAAGGATACAGAATATTTTTATGTGTTTCTTAGCTATTCGTGTTTCATTTTTGAGAATTCTATTTAGTTTTATTCCTCACTTTTTATTGAGTTGTTTCCCTGATGATCAGGTTTTTTTGTTTTTTTTTTGTTTTTTTTGGTTTGGGTTTGGTTTGGTTTGGTTGCTTGTTTGTTCTTTGTATATTCTAGATACTAATGCTCTACCAGATATGTAACTGGTAAAGACTTTTCACATTCTCTTTCTCATATGATCTATCCTCTGCTGTACAGAAGACTTTTAGTTCATTAAGTCCTATACGTTAATTGTTGATCTTCATGTCTGGGCTGTTGAGATCCTATTCAAAAAGTCCTTTCTCACATCTGTGAGTTCAAGTGTATTCCCTAACTCGCTCATCTATTGGACTCACCATATCTGGTCTTACATTAAGGTCCTTGATTCATTTGAGGTTGATATTTATATAGTGTGATTTCTGTAGATCCACTTTTCTTCTTCTTCATGAAGCTGCCCAGTCTGACCAGAACCGTTTTTTTATGACTGCTTTTTCTTCAGTGTGAATTTTTTTTTGGATTCTTTGCAAAAAATCAGTTTTTCATAGGCATATGTTATGACCAGGTCTACAGTTCTATACCTTCGATCAACATGTCTGTCTTTATGCCACTCCCATGCTGTTGTCTGTTACTATAGGTCCAGAGTACAACCTGAAATCTGGGACAGTGATGCCTCCAGCAGTTCTTTTATGTTCAGGATTGTTTTTAGCTAGCCTGGGTGTTTTGTTTCTTCATATGAAATTTAAAGTTTTTTTTCAATTTTTGTGAAGAATTGTGTTGAAATTTTGATTGGGAATGCAAGCAGCCTCTAGGTTGTTTTGATAGGATGACCATTTTCACAATACTGATCTTACCAATCCATGCATATGGAAGGTCTTTCCATTTTCTAGTGCCTTCTTCAACTCCTTTCTTCAGTGTCTTCGAGTTTTAATTATACAAGTCTTCCACTTGCTTGGTTAGATTTACCCCAGAATATTTCTGAAACTATTGCAAAAGATACTGCTTCTCTAATTTCTTTGTGTGTTTGTCCTTTGTATATGGGAAAGCTAGTAATTTTCATGTGTTGATTTTGTACCCTGCTGCTTTGCTGAAGGTACTCATGAGCAGTAAAAGTTTCCTATTGGCTCATTTGTGTCTTTTATGTATAAAATCATATCATCTGCAAATAAGGATTCTTCAATCTTTTCCTTTCCTGATTCTACCTCCTGTGTTTCCTTCAGGTGTGTCTTATTCCTCTAGCTAAGACTTCAAGTACTATAATGAATAGGTGTAGAGAGAGTGGATAGCCTCGTGTCTTGTTCCTGATATTAGTGGAAATGCTTTGAGTTTCTCTCCATCTAGGTTAATGTTGGCTGCGAGTTTATTGTATATTGCCTTTATTATATTGTGGTATGCCCCTTGTATCTATCCCTAGGGATGCTAAATTTTATCAAAGACTTTTTCTGCATCTAAAGAGATGATCATGTGCTTTCTGTCCTTGAGTCTCTTTATGTAATAAATTGCAGTTATTGATTTATGTTGAACCATCCCTGCATATTTGGCATGAAGCCAACTTAGTCATTGTGGAAAATCTTTTTGATATGTTCTTAAATTTGGTTTGCAGATATTTGTTGAGAATTTTTTCATAATCTTTTTTTTATTTAAGAATTTTTTATTCATTTTACATACCGCCCACAGATCCCCCACTCATCCCTCCTCCTGTTCTCCTCCAGCCTTCTTCCCATGACCCCCCACCTCCTCCTACAAAATGGTAAGGGCTCACATGGGGAGTCAGCTAAGCTGGGTACATTTAGTTGAGGCAGGACCAAGCCCCTTCCACCTGCATATAGGCCGAGCATGGGGTCCCACCATAAGTAAGGGACTCCAAAAAGCCAGCTCATGCACTAGTCATAGATCCTGATCCCACTGTCAGGGACCCCTCAAACAGACCAAGCTATACAACTGTCTCCCATATGCAGAGGGCCTAGTCTGGTCCCATGCAGGTTCCACAGCTGTCAGTCAAAAGTTTGTGAGTTCCTACAAGCTTGGTTCAGTTGTCTATGTAGATTTCCCCATCATGATCTTGACCCCCTTGCTTATATAATCCCTCTTCTCCTTCAACTGAATTCCCAGAACTGTGCTTGGTGCTTGGCTGTGGATCTGCTTCCATCAGTTACTAGATGAAGGCTCTATGATGACAGTTAAGGCATTCACCAATCTGATTACTGGGGTAGGCCAGTTCAGGCACCCTCTCCACTATTACTAGAAGTTTAGGCTGAGATAGTCCTTGTGGATTCCTAGGAATTTCCCTAGCATCAAGTTTCTCCCAAATCCCACAATAGCTCCCTCTATCAAGACATCTCTTTCATTGTTATCCCACTTTGTCCCTCTTCCATCTCAACTATCATGTTCCCTCATGTTCTCATCCACCATCCCCTACTCTCCATTGCCCACCCCTCATCACCAGTTTACTCATGGAGATCTCATCTGTTTCCCCTTCCCAAGGCAATCCATGCATCCCTCTCAGGATCCTCCTTGTTAGCTAGCTTCTCTGGAGCTGTGGATTGTAGCATGATTATCCTTTATTTTACAGCTAATATCCACTTATGAGTGAGTACATACCATGTTTGTCTTTCTGAGTCTGGGTTACCTCACTCAAGATAATATTTTCTAGTTATATCCATTTTCCTGAAAATTTCATGATGTCATTGTTTTTTAGAGCTGAGTAATACTCCATTGTGTATGTGTACCACATTTTATTTATTCATTCTTCAGTTGACTGGCATCTAAGTTGTTTCCAGGTTCTGGCTATTATGAATAATGCTTCTATGAACAGAGTTGAGCAAGTGTCCTTGTGGTATGATTGAGCATGCCTTGGGTATATGCCCACAAATGGTATCATTGGGTCTTGAGGTAGAATGATTCCCAGTTTTCTGAGAAGTCACCATACTGATTTCCAAAGTCGCTGTACAACTTCGCACTCACATCCTCTCCAACATAAGCTGTCATCAGTGTTTTTGATCTTAGCCATTCTGACAGGTATCTCAGAGTCATTTTGATTTGCATTTCCCTAATGACTAAGGTTGTTGAGCAATTCCTTAAATGTCTTTCAATAATTTGAGATTCTTCTGTTGAGAATTCTCCATTTAGATCTGTAGCCCATTTTTTGATTAGATTGTTTGGTCTTTTGATGTCTAGTTTCTTAAGTTCTTTATTATTTTGGAAATCAGCCCTCTGTCAGATGTGGAGTTGGTGAAGATCTTTTCCCATTCTGTAGACTGTTGTTTTTTCTCATTTACCATGTCCTTTGCCTTATACAGACTTCTCAGTTTCAAGAGGTCCCATCTATTAGTTGTTGCTTTCAGTGTCTGTGCTACTGGTGTTATATTTAGAAAGTGATCTCCTGTGCCAATGCATTCAAACTCAAAGTGATTCCACTAAAATCAGAAACAAGACGTGACTATCCACTCTCCCTATATCTATTCAATATAGTACTCAAAGTACTAGCTAGAGCAATAAGACAGCAAAAGGAGATCCAGGGTATACAAATTGGAAAGGAAGAAGTCAAACTTTCACTGTTTGCAGATGATATGACAGGCTACATAAGTGACCCCAAAAATTCTACCAGGGAACTCCTACAGCTGATAAAAACCTTCAGTAAAGTGGTGAGATACATGATTAACTAAAAAAATCAGTAGTCCTCTTATATACAAATGATAAACTGGACAAGAAAGAAACCAGAGAAACAGCACCCTTTATAATGGCCACAAATAATATAAAATACCTTGAGGTAACTCTAACCAAGCAAGTGAAAGACCTGTCTGACAAGAACTTTAAGTCTTTGAAAAAAGAAATTGAAGATGGTATCAGAAAATAGAAAGATCTCCCATGCTCATAGAGAGGTAGAACCAACATAATAAAAATGGCACTCTTATCAAAAGCAATGTACAGATTCAATGCAATCCCCATCAAAATCCCAACACAATTCTTCACAGACCTTGAAAGTACAATACTCAACTTCATATGGAAAAACAAAAAACCCAGGATAGCTAAAACAATCCTGTACTATAAAGCAACTTCAGGAGGTATCACCATCCCTTACTTCAAGCTCTACTATAGAGCTATAGTAATAAAATTAGCAAGGTATTAGCATAAACCCCAGAATATGGACCAATGGAATCAAATGAAGACCCTGACATTAATCCATACAACTATGAATATGTGATCTTTAACAAGGAATCCAAACTGTACAATGGAAAAAAGAAAGCATCTTCAACAAATGGTGCTGGCATAACTGGATGTCAACATGTAGAAAATTACAAATAGATCCATCTCTATCACCAAGCACCAGACTCAAGTCTAAGTGGATCAAGGACCTCAACATAAATCCAGCTACACTGAACCTGATAAAAGAGAAAGTAGGAAGTAGCGTTGAATGCATTGGCACAGGAGATTGTTGAGAATTTTTTAATCTATGTATATTAGGGATATTAGTTTGTTATTTACTTTTTGGTTGAGTGTTTAGTTTTAGTATCAAGGCAATAGCAGCTTTGTAAAAAGAATTTGAAAGTTTTCCTTCATTTTCTATTTTGCAGAATAATTTTGAGACTATGGATTTTAATTCTTTTTTGAAAATCTGATAGAATTCTGTGCTGAATCCATTTGGCTTTTAGTATTACTTTTAAGTGGGGAATTTTTGGTTACTGCCTCCATTTCACAAGGGATTAAGAGTCTAATTAAATTATTTCATCTTGATTTACCTTTGGTGGATTGCATATACAAAAAAAATTCATCCATTTCTTTTATGTTTTCCAGTTTAGTAAAATTCAGATTTTTAAAGTATGTCCTTGTGTGTCTTGTAATTTCCTTGGTGTCTATTGCAATGTCTCCTTTTCCTCTCTAGTTTTATTAATTTTGGTCCTATCTCTCTTTCTTTTGGTTAACTTGCCTTAAGGTTTGTCAATCTTGCTAATTCTACTCAAAGAGCCAACTCTTCATTTTATTGATTTTTTATCATATTTTGTTTGTTTTTTTTTTTTTTTTTT